TTTAGATGATCTTAGTGCAAGTGTGTGAGAGTTCAGCGCTGCCTGACTTTGAACTGCTGTGGAAGAAGCTATGTGTCCTCAGATCTTACTGCCAGCAGTTCTACTGAAATGAGTCTCTGCCAGCGTGGCACAAAAAGACTTACCTTTATCCCTGGGGAAGACAGAGTGTGGAACTAAAGCAGAGATTAAAAAGTAGAAGAGTGGTTACTAAGCCATATGGATACGAGTTTCTCTCTTCGCCAAACCTCTGTCTATCCAAAATAGAGATGCCAGAAGCACCATCCTACCATCTCTAGGCATGTCACTCTCCATCTTTAAATCTTGCTGTTTTCTTCCCATATCTCTATGAGATAGATGTATCTCACCCTCTGGATCTTCGTTCCTTGTCTGCACCTCAGTATTCATCCTTCCTCTACGCACATTCATACATTTAGCCATTAGAGCATTCCCAACTTTTCCTTCTCTCTGGTTCATGCCTCCTAATAAACTACTGGTATTCCGTGGAAGTGTCCTTACTAACAAAATTGTCTGCAAATGAATTTCCTTAAGCACATCCAATATGAGAAATAACAAAATGGGCAGCACAGCACCAGTGGAAAAATCTCAAAGCAATTCTGAGGGAAGATGGTCCCTTCATGAGCCCTATAAGGGTGAAGAACCAACAGACCAAATTTTCTCCAAAAACACACTATAAGAAAGGGAGAATTTGCATCCCATGCAATCCCAAGAGAACTAAAATCCAAGTCCTCACCCCTTTGGCTTTATTTTTCTGTTGAAATTTTGTGGAAATAAATTCTTATCTTTCAGATTATGTTAAAAGTAATTTTGCAATCAAAATGAACAACATCCCACCTACTCATATGCCATCTAAGGGAGGAGAGCAAGGATTGGTGGTTGTATAGCCTGTCTTGCTAATCGCTGCTTTGAAGAACTGTACCATGACAGACGCATCTTGCAAATCAGTGACAACTCATCCCACAGATGAAAAAGAAACTAGCAGAAATCCTTCTGTTTCTACTAGTTAACACCACCATCATTCTACAGAAAACCCAAGGCATTAATTAGATGGTTTCAGAAAGAGGGTCTGTCACAACAGCATGGTTGTGTTTCTAATTGCTGCACATTCATTCAAATACGAGGTAGGAAAGGTAAGAGGTACATTCCCATCTCTCAGACAGTCCTGTAAAAAAACACCACTACCACCCCCACCCCCCAAAAAAGAAAAAAAAAAAACCACAAAAAAACCCCAAAATCCAAAATGGAACTATATGATCTGGAAGTATTCTGACAATGTCTGCAGCTTCTAGGCATTTCCCTTAAGTATATAAATAGCAAGCAGAGCAGATATGCTATAACAAAAACATGAGCAAATCTTCCAACTATATTTGAGCTATAACCATTGATTCTACTCCATTTATTTCTAAGCAGTTACTTTTGCAGTATTGGATCTCTTCATCATATTTTGTCGCTGCACAACCATCCTAGAACAACACACTTTTCCTATCCTTTCATTTGGCTTGTGATCGAATGTATGATCAACTACACTGGCTTTAGCTCCTGAGTACAGTATTAATCAGATTTGAAAATAATCTTCCATGTGACTTTCAAGAATCCTTTCTGGCAAGGCAAATAACATGTCTAAATACACAAAGGGATACTGTGCCCTACAAAAAAAAAAGGTACATATTGATGTTATTAAGGGTACTTTCTGAGAAATACATGTCTGCCTGCCTGTCTGAAGAAAGCAGGTATCAGTTTACTACAGGTGTTACTACAGCTTCTTATCCTTTTATTACAGAAAAGGGCATGGTTTTAGGTTGTCTAAAGTCAAGTAAATATTTCAGGAACTTCTTGATCAAGATAAAAAAATTTATCAGAGAAAATCTAAAAAAAGTTTTGAAATTCTAGAAAAGTGCTAGACCAGCCCCCCCTTCTTATGCTGGGCCAAATCTTCATTTCCAAAAATTGCAGTAGAACAGAACTGGGTACACGTGTCAAAACCACCAGTTGATATTTTGCTGCAAATCCCAAATGATTGATCAGATCTGCAGAACAAAGGTAATGTAAATTCAACCCCTGTCGAAATGAATCGGCTAACTCAGGCCTTCTGTAAACTATTAGTCTGAAGAAATAAAAAGACACCGTGGGTCCCAGCAGAACACATAGAGGAGTAGCTGAAGTGACTACTTGACAATGCTACTATATAAAACTAGGTTATCCAAAGACTGAGTGTAAGCTATATATTGAGAAATCGTACTATGTGTCAACTTGTGGCACTCAAGTTTGCCACACACATGCAATCAAATCCCCCCCCCCCGAGTTATGAAAGACTAGTCACCATTTGGAGCCTACAATGGTTACTAAGTTAAATGTTCAAATATCACTGGTGATAATGTCAACAAATGACAGCATACACTAGCATATGCATGAGCTGTTTTACAAATACAACATGCTTTATTACTGTAATTACGCTTAGCAGAAATACAAGGTTAGAGCTTATTTCCATCATCAGTACTTGTCAGCACTTGGGAGTGTAGGCAGCTCTGGAAAAATATTACAGTAAAATCAATTCTCTTTTTGGATGGGTACAGAACTTCTGGTTCACTATGGCACTTCCAGAAGTTCAGCACACCTGTCTTCTGCAGAACATGAATGAAATAATATAGTATTATATTGTAGTTTATATGAGCTTTATAGGTAATCTCAGTATCCTGATCACTGCATCAGTAAATATAATTTATATACACCATCCTCCCATCCAATATTCAGTTAAAACTTGGAGAATGTTTGTATCCCTTTCTCATACAGAACATTACCATATCATATACATGTTTCTGGCTAGGTAGCTGCTACATTACACGCCAAAGATTCTGTATTTTAGTGTGCACTAAATCTATTTCTATACTATATACTTGTGAAGTATTTAGAGGTCATTTGGTATTATTGAATTAATCACTCTGTAACCTATATGAACAGTAGTTTGCATGAAAATTTTCTATCCCACATTTGGATTCTTGCTTCCAAACTCTGCTTTCTTTCTCTGCCCAAACCATGTTAACATCTAGTTATCACAGAAGAGATGTGACTGTGAATAAGTAAATGTCATTTTGTGGATTTCACTGCACCAATGTAACTCTACCACCTCACTCAACAGGACTGTAGTACAGGAGAAAGGATTCTACTCTGAAAGGCAGTACAGGCTGGGGCTCTGGTCTCTTTAAGAAACAGCAGTTGAGGAACGTCGTTAGCAGAAAAGGAGGGATGAGTGCCGGATTCTGCATGATTCTCAGTGGTATCAGTAGGCCAATGAAGTCAGTCTTTAAAGCAGAGACTCATCAAAAGCTCTTTTTTCATTATAGCTTTGCAGTCTTGGGATGAAAATGTCACTAGTGACTTATAAGAAGCACAAAGCAAATTAAAGGCCAATTTCTTTCCCCCCCCAAATTATTATCTATGAGCGTAAAAGAAAGTACCTAGGCAAGACCAAGGGTGAGACAATTGTATTTGTCTTAGCTGACAGTGAAAGTCTAATTAGACTGAAAAATCTTCTGTGCTATTTTCCTTTGTGATATACACGGTAAGAAAGGATTTAGCCTGGAGATGCACGTTATGGAAAGACATTAATCAAGATTATTGGAGCCTCAATTGAAAACATCGTTAGAAGGCTGGAAAGCCTAACAGTTAAAATAAAAGGTTGAGAACCTTATTCTGAGCTATGCCAATAGGCTGGATTCTCCATATGCATAATGGGCAGATCCCCTCTTCTGTTCTTCAGAGAGAACATTCTGTATATTATGCATTGTCAATCTGTGGCCTTAAGATCATTCATGTCTGAAAACATCCACAAGTAATTTATTTTCACCTCCAAGCTACAGTTTGAACAGTTTGGCAAGTGTCATTATCCTCATTTTAAAGATCAAGCAGTTGAGACATGCTCTGGATCTGTAACAGAACACACAGTTTCTGGTTCCTCATGGAGAGCATAACCAGAAGTCCATCTGTCCTCCCAGAAGGGTTCTGATCTGTTTTTCATAGAAAACTGTCTGTGTCAGTCTTCACCGGCAGGTGCTGTAGCCACGATGTCTAAGTCACAGAAAGCAAAGCAAGGACTGGGATAATGAAGAACTGCTCACTGTAGGAGATCAGGTTCAAGACCATCTCAGGAACCTGAAGGTGCACAAGTCTATAGGACCTGATGAGATGCATCCGCAGGTCCTGAGGGAACTGGTGGATGAAGTTGTTAAGCCACTATCCATCATATTTGAGAAATCATGGCTGTCTGGTGAAGTTCCCACTGGCTGGAAAAGGGGAAACATAATTCCCATTTTTAGAAAGGGAAAAAAGGAAGACCTGGGGAACTACAAGACAGTCAGTCTCACTTCTGTGCCCGGCAAGATCCAGGAGGAGCAGATCCTCCTGGAAACTATGCTCAGGCACATGGAAAATAAGGAGGTGGCTGGTGACAGCCAACATGGCACTAAGGGCATTGCACTAAGGGCAAATCGTGCCTGACAAATTTGGAGGCCTTCTATGATGGGGTTACAGTGTTGGTGGATAAGGGAAGAGCAACCGACGTCATCTACCTGGACTTATGTAAAGCATTTGACACTGTCCTGCACAACATCCTTGTCTCTAAATTGGAGAGACATGGATTTGATGGATGGACCACTCGGTGGATAAGGAATTGGCTGGATGGTTGCGGTCAATGGCTCAATGTCCAAGTGGAGAACAGCAACGAGTGGCGCTCCTCAGGGATCAGTATTAGGATCAGTGTTGTTTAAATCTTTGTTGGTGACATGGACAATGGGATTGAGTGCACCCTCAGGAAGTTTGCCGATGACACCAAGCTGTGTGGTGCAGTTGACACACTGGAGAGAAGGGATGTCATCCAGAGAGACCTTGACAGGCTTAAGAGGTGGGCCCATGCGAACCTCATAGAATTCAACAAGGCCAAGTACAAGGTCCTGCACATGGGTCATGGCAATCCCAAGCACAACTACAGGCTGAGCTGAGAATGGACTGAAAGCAGCTCTGGAGAGAAGGACTTGGGGATGTTGGTGGATGAGAATCTCAACATGACCCAGCAATGTGTGCTTGCAGCCCAGAAAGTGAAACATATCCTGGGCTGCATCAAAAGAAGTGTGACCAGCAGGTTCAGGGAGGTGATTCTACCCTTCTACTCTGCTCTGGTGAGACCCCACGTAGAGTACTGCATTCAGCTTTGGGGTCCCCAACATAAGAAGGACATGGAACTCTTGGAGCGAGTCCAGAGTAGGGCCATGAAGATGATCAGAGGGCTGGAGCACTTCTCCTATGAAGACAAGCTGAGAGAGTTGGGGTTGTTCAGCCTGGAGAAGAGAAGGCTCTGGGGAGCCTTCCAGCACCTAAAGGGGGCCTAGAAGAAAGCTAGAGAGGGACTTTTTACAGGGGCATATAGAGGTAGGACAAGGACTAATGGCTTTAGACTGAAGGAGAGTAGATTTAGAGTAGATATTAGGAAGACATTCTTCACTATGCGGGTGGTGAGGCACTGAAACAGGTTGCCTAGAGAACTTGTGGAGGCCCCCTCCCTGGAAGTGTTCAAGGCTAGTTGGATGGGGCCCTGGGCAACCTGGTCTAGTGGAGGATGTGCCTGCCCATGGCAGGGAGGTTGGAACTAGATGATCTTTAAGATCCCCTCCAACTCAGGCCATTCTACAATTCTATGATTTTGGTCTTGGGATCCTAGCCACCTGTGTCATAGGGCAAACATATTAGGGGCCTGCCCTTGGTCAGTGGGGCCTGGAACCTCCCAAAGCTTATCTAGAACAGTTCTCCTTCAGGACTCACAGACCAGCTGGAATCACCTTGGATTCGCTGAACTTGAAGGTGCCTTGAATGGAAGACTCATGTATCACCATGCATGCTTTTCTAGACTAGCTCTACTTAGTAATTAACTTAAAAGATATCTTTACACAAGTCATTTGAAAGCTGAATTACCGAGCTATAACTGGACAGAACGTGCCACTTGAGAGCATATGGAGAGCCTCCTAGAAAGCTTTGAGTAGTGACTCAGTAAATAAATTCTGAGCACATAAGCAGCTAACATGGAAGTAGACACCAAGAGAATGTCACTTTAACTCATCTTCACAGAAGTCTCCCAAACCCAGAAATTCCTGAACTACTTCAGTAATAATTGAAGCTGTGCTTTAAATCGGGAAATACGGACATGTGGGATTCCAGGACGTTTAACAATTGCTAATGAAGCAACCCTGTGAGAAACATGGCAGCCTTGCAAGAATACGACATGGCACCATACAGTCACTCTCATCTAATAGCAGCCTGCTACTTGACCACACACAAGAGCTAATGGCCTTCGTAGGGTAGCATGGCAAAGCAGAAGTCCCAGAGAGGGTATTATTATTATAGGACAGTCTGGTGTGTCAAGGCCCTGAGACTGGCAGCAGGGATTTAGTGCAACACATGTCACTTCCGAACAGATCATGCTTGAATCCAAAACAAACCCATGTGTGAGAAAGTCAAATCAGCATTTCTACTCAGGGGCAGCAGAGCACAAGCACCGTTTGCAACTCACTGAAACAAACATGAATCGAAACTCCTTTTTCTCCCTCATTTTCAGTTAACGGGCCTTTGTTATCTTTCAAGGCCTCTGAGGGATATTTGAATCACAGAAACGTTTCTATCAGTATAGCATACAGTCATACATCTTGACTGTTTCTCATTCAAATCCTCCACTGATCTGAGTTTCACTGCCTTACAGGAATGTTATTATAAATTTTAAAACAAAATGAAGTTACAGACATTTTAAATGCTACTGTCATTGCCACCAGGTATTTCCAGTAATAACATTCTCTCAATTCTCTTGTCTTGGATGTTTGTCCAAGACTATATCCCATGTTTGAGATCTTCACAAATTGAAAAGCATGTCATTAGTCTGTGCATATACTGTGTATTTTTACAGCACTTCATTTTTGCAGCTGGTTTAGTCTAACTGCGCTTTAAAACACTTCTGGCAGTAGTCAGACTACCTAACTGCAGGAGGTAGCTTGGTGTACATTACAAACAGAAGAAATCTTTGCAGTTATCATGCTCTTCTGTACTTCCCAACAAGTGATGCATAAATCTAAATCCTACTGAAATTCCCTTGGATTTTGTATCACTTTGGGATTACAGACTTGATAATCTGCACAAGCTTTATATGCATTTCAAAAAGAAGTTTTAGTTACATATGAAAATGAGTAATACAAATAGCACAGATACTTCTACTACATTAAGAATAATAATTCTCTATTCTGATTCTTGCTATTTCGCATTAGATGCTTTACTTTCACTTTTATCATGCCTGGTATTTCTATAATGGGCTATAACCCTTCTGTGCTAAGTAGAATACACATGCAGAATAAAAAGTATGTTTTGAACCCAAAGAGTCTGCAATCTAAGCGCAAAACAAGGTATCACACATAGATACAGAAAAGTGAATAATATGAAAACAAAAAATATGACAACATTGATTGGCTTGATAAACAGCTGCCTTAGACCATCATCAGGTTAACCTCTGACAACTTTTTGGCATACATCATGATGAAAGGAGTGTTTCAATGGGATTAGAAGAATAGCTTGCTGTTGCCTTGTGGATGGTATCAAGAAGCAGAAAGATTCTTACGATCATATCTAAGAAATGAGTAAAAAAATGCTTGAATCATGCTGATCAGAATGGAGAAAGAAGAGGCTACACTGTGAAAGGCCTTGAAAGTGAAGAAAAATTGTTTGTTTCTGAGCAGAGAAAGAGAAGAGAAAGCTGGAGTAAGGTAATAACTAACTGTATTTGTACTGCTCATAGCCTTAGGTAGCTATATTTTACATTCCCCAAAGAACAAACTTGCTCTATTAGATTTTTCTACCACTTAGATCTAAAATTGTAAGCAGGCTTGACAATGGCGATGTTGAACACAAGCAAGATAAAATAACCATTAGGCATCTGAAAACCACAGCTGGAGATACTGCCCAAACGGAAAAAGACAATTTCTTCTCACTTTCACCACACAAATAACGCAACTTAAGCTGACAGAATCAAATTCTACCAAGAATAAGGAAGAAACACAAGCTATCTGTGCTGTGACAGCAATAAAATCGCCTGATATTGAAATGCAGAAAGTTGTAATGGAGGTACATATTGACCTTTATCTTTCTTTCAGTGGGTAGCATAAAGTGTCAAAGAGTTATTGCTTTAATATCAGCTGGGATGAGGCCATTTGTTGTGGTGCATGTGTACCCAGGAAATCACTGCTCTAACCATGTTTTTAGAAGCACTTCGACACTTTATTAAATCTTCTTGATGCTCTTTCAGCACATAGTGGTCTCTAGAGGCTGACCGAAATGCCACGTAGGTTAGGCAGGAAGCTTTCTGGAAGAGTTTCTCTTCAAGTAAGCCAGGGTCATTTCCAGCTTGACCCAGCCCACAAAGGTACAGTGCTACTCTCTGTTACACTCCTATAGCTAAACACAGTTCTGCTGCTTTTATGAATTCTAGAAAATCTCCAATAAATTAACAGTTGCAGATCAAGACCACATACTTTATTCTTCTGGAGACGTAATCGTACAAAGATTTTCTCTAAAATTAGAGCTAGCCACTGAGGAGAAGGACCTGCAATTCTTTCAAAATTTATAACAAACAGTGACCAAACCTGGGGTAATTTCCCCTCATTTAGCTAAGACTTTATAAATCACCTATTGGGTGTCTGAGGCTAATAACTCAACTAATCCCAGTCCTGTTGGCAACTGTGTGTACAGATTACCAAAGGGGCAATGATAAACCTTGATTTGGAATTAATTACTCTAATAGATTGAACTTCCACTGCAGCCAGAGGTACCTCATAGAATCACAGAATGGATATAGTTGGAAGGGACGTCTGGAGGTCATCTGGCCCAACCTCCCTGCTCAAGCAAGGTCACCCAGAGTCAGTTGCCCAGGACCACGTGCAGATAGTTTTTGGATAGTTACAAGGATGGAAACTCCACAACCTCTATGGGCAACCTGTGCCAGTGCTTAGTCACCCTTACAGTAAAAAAGTGTCTCCTGATGTTTAGAGGGAACCTCCTGTGTTTCAGTTTGTGTCCTTTGCCTCTGGTCTCATCACTGGGCACCACTGTTATCTTTACACCTTCTCTTCAGGTATCTGTACACATTTATAAGGTCCCTCCTGAGCGTTCTTTCTCCCAGCTGAACAGTCCCAGCTCTCTCAGCCTTTTCTCATAGGAGAGATGCTCCAGTCCCTTAACCATCTTAGAGGCCCTTCGCTGGACTCACTCCAGTAGCTCCATTTCTCTTTTGTACTGGGGAGTCCAGAACTGGACATAATACTCCAGGTGTGGCCTGACCTCCTACACAATTAAGAGGACAATTTTTGTGTTTTCTTATCCTAAGTGACCAGGACTAGATTCAAAATAAAGAGAATGGTCTTATACATACAAACACAATCAATAACTGATTAAATGTTCTAAGCAGTTAGAAAGCAAGCATGCAACTTGTATGATTACAGATTTCAAAGTCCTGGATTTCATTAAGGTCTTCTGTCCCAAGCAGCAGAAACTGTTTCAAGGGAAGCAGGTGGAATAATTTAATTTTTTTCTCCAACTACACAACAATATACCTTTCTCTGGAGGTTTAATAAAGGCACACTCTGATCAATAATCACTCACCAGTGTCTCAGCCAGTGTATGCTGGCGTCACTGAAAGTATGTTGATTTCTACAGGATGAGGTTCTGATGTAAAAAATATTTTAAAACAAATGTTTCATCCTAGTTGATAACATGATAGTACGCCACTGAAATAAATAATTTTCAAAATCTGATCCACTGCTCAGATTGTTTATTCACATGATTCTTTTCTTTGCACAGACAAGGAGAGCCGATTTAAGGTGTTTATTTCTAGTCAGTACGATATTCCGGGTGTCACACAAGCAGTTCCAAAACCACTGCATTTTTAGGACTGAAAACACTGCATTTGCACAATTAAGACAGAACATCTGAAATTAATTTTTTTTTTTTAGGAATTATTTTGTAGGAATGGAACTGCTCTATGTTTGCACACCTATATTTTGCGAGGACCTGATCTTGATAGTGTTTCTTTAAAATTTTCTACAGGAAGGCTATAAAAGGAAAATGAAAAATGGCTCTACCTGGAAGTAATGTTCCATTGCTTTTCTGCCCATTATGAACTTCACTGTCGCAGCAGTACACACTGTCGTAATAATAAATAACCATACACACACACACACACACACACACACACACCCCCCCATTAAGCTTTGTATCTCTCTTAGGAATATATTTCCCCACATATGGACCTGTGGAAACATAGTTAAAAACATGTTCTCATTCACTTTGGGGCAATTTTACTTACATGGGGTTGCACTACAACAGGAGCAAAACCTGTCCCCATTATCACGTACATATACCATAATAATTCATCCAGCTGTTTGTTCACCAACACAGGTGGACAACATTTTGTGGCGATTTACCCTATACAACATTATTAAAATAGAGAGTTATATGGAACATGGTTCAGAGAACATGGCTCCCGTGAACTTATAAGTGAGCAGTGAAACAAACGACTAATTAAGAACCCAAGGAAATGCAAAGGGTAATTGACTCACCTGGATGCTGGGTGGTGAACGATTTTTTCGGGTTGTAGTGGTGGCCATCGTAGTTGTGGTTTCCATGACTGTAGTAGACATTTCTGGTGGCACAGAGGTTGTAGGTGTTGTTCCCAAGATGGAAGGGACTTCCCCAACGAGTCGGACACTTCCATTGATTTTAATGTTGGGGTTGTTCTCTGCTGCCATGTTCAGCACTTTCAAGCCATTGTAATAGAGACCGGAGAGCTGGCCTTGGAAAAGACGCCCTCTGTCCTTCCCTCCTATGGCTATTTGCGCCTGGGTGTTGAAGATCGTTAACTGTCGTCCTAGTGAAGGGGGGTGAATAACATTATTGCCAGACATTTCCTTCACTTTGCATCTTACATTGAGTCCTGGCCAGAAATGACGGACAACAAAGAAGTAGATTCATTCTTGGTAGTGTTTATGATGACTGTAGAAATACCGAATGGAAATGTACTGCCTAAAACTCATTAATAAGGAAGATTAGCTTGAAAGCAAGAACAGCTAAAACTGAACCTCATACTTCAACATCCACTCACACACCAAAACTCTGGAGGAGCTTTGATTCAGAAATTTGAACCCACTCTTTTAGAGCTAGACTCATTTTAAACTACAAATAAGGCTTCAACATGTGGCTATTCTTCTACTATCAATTCAGATTGCAGTACCTGTCAAGCTTCAGCCCATAAATAAACCTTCTATTTTGACTGGTCAAAGGATGGGATTAACTCATAAAGCCACTTTTAATAATGCCAAGGTTTTAAGGGGTGGCTTGAGGACAGTAAAACATCAGAAAAAAATTGATGGTGATATAAGGATTGTGCAGGAATCTTATGACAGGATCAGTCATGATCTTCCACCTGTAAATTTTGTGTTCTGAAGGCTCACAAATCTAAAATCTAAAAACACCAAATGCAAACATTTGCGATGTCTCTGAAAGAGCAAAGTTTTTGAAATAGTGAGGATAACATAGTGCTTCAGACGGTTAAGCCCCAGAATGCCTTACATGTGACTCCCCTCTTACAGACAGTGAAATTCAAATGTAGGCAGATTAAGTGGTTTACTCAAGGTCACACCTTGAGTGTTAGAAGTGGTCTAATACCATATATAATGAAAAATATATTTATTAAAAATAAATCTAGTGACAATTGCCAATTCACCTAGTTTTGCAGGACACTTAAATCACATTCAGCCTGGACTGCTCTATAAATACAGCTTATGTCCCAGGCTGCACTAGGTTGACTATGTAAAGAAATAAATTGCTTCATGCAGTGCAAAGGCAGTGCCTATAATTTCACTGTTCTTCAGAAGATTAGGGGCATGCCACCTGGAATCTGTTAAATTAACAGACAACCAGACTTGGCAGAGCTCAGAAGGGTTATCAATGCAGCATCAAGTCAATCATCATTCAGATAGCTACTGTGTTTTCCCATTTTTATGAAGTTTGTACCACATGTCCCCATCCCATTCCCGCTTCCCAGTTCTCACTCACCACTTCCTCTCTCTAGTCCACCCTGATGAGAGGTGCAAAATGCCACCATGTAGCACAGCACAGCCTATAACTCACTGCTCATTCGTTCACAGCCAGTGGTTAGAGTAGATCAAAATGCGAGGGGGAGCTCACCAATTTTGGTGGTCGTCGTGACGGGTCTTGAAGTCAAGTGGTGATGCGGTGTTGCATCATCTTATGGTGACAGGATGGACCATGGGGAAGAGAATGGGGACAAGAGAAGAAATGTATCTGAAAGGAGTTTCTGTCCCCAAAGTGGGCCCTAGCTAACTAAGCGAAAGTGTATGGAGAGGTGTAATATACGGACATGTGGAGGTGGGCTGCACATCCCTTGTGCTCCTCACCCACAGATTTGTAAATGAAACACTAGGACTTGATCAGGGTGGAGTAACTGCATTGATGAAGAAATGAGAAATAAAAATGGAGGGTATCCTTCCCCTGGAAAGTGTTGAAACACCTGATGCAATATTCTGCATCTCAGGAGGTTTTAAACTTACCAGAGGCAATGTATGTCTATTAAAACATCAACAAACATGCACTGAAGCCACACATCCTCAGCATGTAAAAAACAGAGCCTTTCCTCTTGTCTATGAGAAAAATAGGATCCAATAAGGATATCTGTCAAAATATTAAGCCCTCTCAGCCCAGCTCCAGTCTGAGCTAGAGGAAATGGCACTGCACACTGGAGAAGGCCAAACTCTTATCATATACCATGTATTCAGAGTTTGCTTTTCTTCTCTGTCCTGTTGTGCTTTTGATTTTTTAATGGATGTGCTGTCAGTTCTTTACTACACCATTTTCCCTTCTCTCCATATATTCTCTCCCTCTACCACTTCATTTCTTTCCGTACTGTCCCTGCTCCTACATACCCAGACATTTCACTTGCAACTGTTCCCTCCTTCTCACCTCACTCATGATAGAGTGCCAAAAAGTAGAGGTGAGATGAGTTAAAGAGCAGGCAGTTATTTCACTAAGAGATGTTATCCCTGAAAATGGAGGAAAGGTACTGATCATTCAAAGCTTTCCATTTCCATTCCTTTCTCCCCTTGAATCAATACTATATCATTTTTTATCTTTAACCAAATGGAAAAGGGGTGGGAGATGATGAGGAAGGAGAATTTTTGCTGTTCCAGCTGGGACAGCTCCCCAAGCCAGGACAGAAAAGGGGTTCCCTCACTTTTACTGAGGATGACAACTCTCCTCAGGATGTCATGTCTTCTAAACCAAGATCACAGCACAGCTTTAGACAAGTCTGTCATATCTCTTGCTTTAATTTCAAGGATGAGGAGTTAGTACATTAAGGCTAAAGAAAAAAAAGACAATTTCTCCATGTCTGGGCCTTCCTCTGCATCTTCTAACACTGAAAGAAAGTGTACCCAAAGGAGGTGGCAACACTCTAGTAAAAAAGGAACTTTGATTGTGTGTTTTGGTGTCTTCCTTGTCTGTTAAGTGGTCTTCCAGTCCAGAATTCATGCACTGCACCACACGGTTAATGCTGGCAACAGCACTGGCACTAGAGCTGTGTTTGCTAAAAGAACAATCACTTGTTGGAGTCACTTCCAACCTGTCACTCCTTATTCTTCACTCTACAATGGTGTGCACGCGCATGAAGACAACAGGGAAATGCATATGGAATGAGAGAAAACTGTTGAGAGAATATACACGTAATTCTGCCACCACAGGTCTCTTCTAATCATTCTTTTGATGATACGGTTCTGAAGCCCTTACTTCCCCTAAGTAAAATCTATTTGGCCACTGAGGAACTGTTTACATCAGTAAATTCTATTAGGTGTGTAAGGGTTGCAGACTTACAGTCCTCCTTTTCCACAGAGAACTCTTCCTACTGCTCTTTTAGTGTCACATTGGAGAAAAATGATGAGCATATTTTAAGTTTCTGAGGTGTTTTATAAATATTCTGAATAGTTCAAGCTCTTGTTTCTTTGTTTGCTCTCTCATTGACTTCTTCATTTGGAAAACTGAATACCAATTAAAAATATCACAGAGAAATCTTAGTGAAATGTAACTTTTCTGTAACGCTAGAAGAGATTTTGGGCCTGATTTTGCAACTCCTAATTCACACTAATAGTTCTTGCATCAAAAGTACAGTCACTCACATCAACGAGACTTCACACATAAGTAAGAGAGATTTGAAGAATTAGGGACTTCCAGGATCAGTCCTTTTGATAAGGTGCTTCTGGGTCTTTATTAGCTCATCCAATTGCAGAATAGGTAACATCTGTGCCTTAGCAGACACGATGTATTCTGCTAAGGAAATCTACTGGTTTCATGACTTCTTAAGTTGAACAATTTAGGACCAATACTTCTTTTTTTACTCACATATATAATCTGTACTGAAGTTAACAGTGTTTAATGTTTTGCTTATTACTCACCATATAATTCGAGATTGTAAACCTGGGCCCCTCTTAAAAATATTTTAAATCAATTTATAAAATGTTAAAACCCCACAAACCCCAGTAATGATGCCACTTCAGAAAGGTGTTATGTTATGTTTTCCAAGAATGAACTATTTCATTACCATGAATAATGTTACAGCAGTACCAAAGGATGACCAAATCTATGGCATTCAAAAATTTCCATTGAAAAGTGTTTCATCTTACCTCACTCAAGCCAAGAACTCATATGAGCAAGACGGCTATTCTATATGCTGTCTCTTTGATGAATCTATCTAATCCTCCACCCATCAGCTCATCTTGTTCCATTTTGATAGCAAGCCTCCCTTTAACTAGCATCTTTATAACGTCTTCTGACAGAAGGCTTCCATGTTACACTAATTGTTGTATGGATGACCAGGTGGATGAGCAGGTTGGTGAACAGCTAGGTAAATTATTAATTCTTAATATTTTTTAATTTGAGTGGTACCTAAGTTGTTGAAAACGTCTATCTACTTTGGAATGAAGGAACAAAGATATGTCCCTAACACAAAGTGTGAAGACCGAATTTCCTTTCACTTCAGTGAAAGCATGGCTCTAACCTTCTACCCTAAAAACACCCAGTGCTTTGAGAGTGTCCGAACACTCAAATACTGTCTCTTTTAGACCCTACTGCATGTGTGATTGTCTTTTAACAAAGCATCATCATCCACAAAAGGTAGACTTCAGTTCAAAACTTCAGGATGGCTTACAAATGAAAATGCCTTGGCATGCTTATAAGCTCAAACTTGGAGAAGCAGTGACATAAAATAAAGAGTTTGGTAGAAAACTAAAAAGGAAAAAAAAAACCTCAAACCAAAACAAAAACACAAAAGAAAATAAAGGTGGGTTTCTCAAGCACATGAATTGCATCAAGGAATTAGACATGCATCTGTTTTAACAAAATTGAGGCAATCATTGTCTTTAGTGTTAAAGGGACTTTAGCAATTCAAACTTACCAAAATTATCCTCTTTTTAGTGTTAAGTTTTATTTATTTATTTTAGTTTGATTCTGTAAATTAACAGGGCAACCCACTGAGACTCAATAAGCATTTTCTGTATACCTTTATCTTAAAATTTATTTACAAGTTAGCTGAATTAACTGTTCCATAAAACCCTGGTGGTTAAAAAATATTTCTGCTTTAGTTACACAAATATTTTTGTCTTTCACAAATTCTTTAGCTTTAGTTACAGACATCATACCTTTGTAGACCAAACCTGAAAAGTGGGCAACACTGTCAGCTCTCATTGAAGTCAATGGGAACTAAGCTGCACTACACTTTGCAGGATCAGACCCATCACATAAAAATATTTTGACTGTAGTTAGCCACATCCTTCGTGATCTTAACTTAATTCATACTAGCTAAATCAATTTGTTCATTCAGCTGAGGACAGAAGTTTGGAACAGAACATAAATTATATTTTTCCAATCCTACAAAACACTGGTTTTCCCTCCTGGAAAATTTGGTAACAAGTATCGTCTTAAGTAAGCACAGAAAATGCAAGAGCTGAGTTCAAAGGTCACCCCCTTTTATCAGCAGTACTTTCTTAAAAGGAAACAAGAGAAGATAGTGTTCTGCTTTTTCTAGACTCAAGGCAAGGAGTTACAGTAATTTTTTTTTTTTAAATACCACATTTACTATAGAAGGACAAGATCTTCTGACTAATGCTCCACTGTACTACCAAGCGCCAAGTCCAAACCCTGCTGAAATCAGTAAAGGTTATTCTGTTAACTTCAACAGGCTTTGGAATGTAGTCTACAGCCAAGATTTTTTTTCCCCCTCCAAATTCCTGACAAAAAGCCATTACTGTTCTGACACAAGTGCCATTTCAACAGGTCACTGAGTGTATGCAGAACTCTCAAGCCAGCTGGACTTATGCATGTTAACAAGTCTTTTGCTGAACTGAGGCCAATTACTCCAGGCAAACCCACAAACTTTAGTAGTACTGCCTGAGATTAAGTTAGGGAAGAATTTGACCTGTAACTTAGACAAATGTATCATTTGACTGTTCAAACTGTACTCCAGACATAACATAAAAGCACCAGAACAATCATCTTTCTCCGTCTCCCTCACTGTAGTTTAAATGAAAATGTTAAAAAATGTTTTCTTTACAACATTTTTTAAAATCATTTAATTACCTTAATACAATTAGGAAACACATAGCCATAGTGGCTAATCAGACTAACGAGAAAAAAGAAACTTACAGAAAGTGGTTTAACAAGTAGGTTTGAAATTTTTTTAAGAAAACTTTGATAATAAAGATATAAATGTAGTTTAAAAACAAATCAAAATAGGAAAATCATGCAGTGGTTAAATTGCCATAATACATGTTGTTGCTCTTCGCTCTTCTTTTTTTTTTTTGTTTTGTTTTTTTAGAAAACGTCTCCTGAATTTTTCCTTGTTTGTTTGTCATTACTATGATAGCAAGCTTAGAATTTCGTCCCTTTAACTGCATTTTAATAGCAATGTATTATAGCATGATTTATCAACATATGGCAGGTGGAAGCTGACACAAATTATAATGAAAATTAAAACAGTCATTTATGCAGCAGGCGATTATCATTTAAGAAACATTTATTTGCAGGCTTTAAAAATGAGGGTTTAGAATCAAATGGGTTTAAAATGAAAGTTTTAATGACTGTTACCTTTTTCCTGCAGCCACTCCTCTACGGGCCGGTTATATTTGAAGGGGATTTTCTGTTTTACCATTTGGAACCGTTCACTATCAGTGTTGCCTTTAAAGTTTAAAAAACAGCTTAAAAACAATCTGAAAAGTCAATGAAATAGTTAAAACATCCTAGATTTTGGGGTTTTTTTATGACCTTATTTAGCTATAAATAAATAAATGTGTGTGTGTGTACATATATATTTGAAAAGAGAGATATTTATCTTTAGTAAGGTGGAGAATAGTTATAAATCCAATTGCCTGAAGTTCTGGAAGGTCAAAGAAGTTAAATCGTATCACAAAGATATCTCAGATTCTCCTCAGAGTATTTGCTTATCTGGATTGGTTAGAAAGCATGTGTAATTTGTCTGGGACATGAGACCTTGAGTGAACCCAGTGGCATGAGTTAAAACACTTTGATCAGACTCTAGATCTGATTGCACAAGAACATGGCACAATATGTCAGTCACACAAACACACAGTTACAAGTCTTTTGATAAACCTTGCAGTAGTAAAAGACACGTGTTAGGACTAGAAACCCAGTGAACAGAAAAAAAGAATGGAAGAAATTATAAGAAATTGATGCTGAAAGGATGTAATAGAATGAGTTTAAAGAACCCTTAGAGTGGGAAGACAGATAGAAAAAAAAGGAAATCAAATTTAAAAAGAGGAAGAGCTGTTAATTAAGGATACATGAAAGCTTGTGTCCAGTTACCAAAGACTTGGGCTTGTTGCCAGAAGAAAACAGCAGCTTAGAAACTAATTTAAATGAAAGCAGAAATAATTACCCAAGATGTAAATTCTGGCAAGTGTAGTTCCATTGTTCCGTGTTGATGGATAATAGAATTATCCAGTAAAATGTGTTTTGGAAGAAAGCTCTTATCACTCACACAGTACAGAAAGAAATAGGATTCAAGGTCTTTGTCCAAATTTCCTGACTACTGAAAATTTTTACAGCTCAGAGGGGTTTGACCAACCTCTAGTAGAAAGAAGCAGCTCAGTTTGACGGTGTTAGGAATGACAGTAAACAAGTGCCATCACTCTGCTTTTTCATTTTCTTCAGCTACAGTCACTTTCAACTCATTCTAGTTTTTGCTTCATGGATTATTTTTATAAAAATTCTTCAATCAGATAAGCATAAAAAGAGTGCATCTTTTACAAACTTCATTGTGGAAAGCTAGAGTAAGCCCCCAGCTTACTGAAGTAATGTTACCATAAACAGAACTTCAGTAGATCAATAGCGCTCCAATACTTGTTTTGAATAAATGGCAGTCCAAGAGCAAGCAACTGCTGTGCACAATTTGCAGTAATGCTTTTAAAATTCCACGTATAAATAACCTAACATGGCTTCATACTTATTTGCCTTTCTGAAATAGATGCTGGAATCTTTTTTCAATGTAAAGACACATCAAGGGAAAAAAAAAAAAAAGACTAACAGCTGGCAAGATGCTCCACCCAGTCAACAGCAGATACTTTCATACTGCAAGCAACGTGACTGGTAAATCTCATGTGCTCGATAATCCTCACTGTCTAACTGTTGCTCAGAAATGCTGCCAGCCTGCACGAGGTACTGCTGACCACAGCTATGTTCTCCAGCATCATCTTGTTACTGCTGAATTTCTGGAACAGGTGAGAGGCACTATAGCGGCACACCGGCTATAATCCCACACGAACTTACATGCAATAAAGCGTGGACCTACTCTTAAGGAGTATTCATAAAAATTATTCTCTGTATCCCTAAGTCCAGCTGTAAGGAAAATAGCAATTTGGATTTGGGTTAATATCTCAAACTATAATGATGAAAATTTAGGAGTCTTGCTGCTTATTTGAGGCAACAAGCAAAACGAAGCAAAAACATTTTCGAAGAGCTTTACTGGCCTGATTCCTTATCACCTTCCTGGAAAGTCATCTACATTTTTCCTTCCACGTAGCAGATCCATTGTGGCAAACTGCTATTCCCTATTGTAGAAAGATCTAATTCAGCACTAGCTGACACACATTGATGTACCACTTGCTCTGTCTCACCTCAGATGCCTGCCATGTACAACTGGGATAAACTAGAATGAAAAGATAAAATATTGGAAATGCACTCTATCAGATAGTTTTCTAACAATGTACTGTGGTGGCTTGGAGTCACTCACAGACATTAAGTTACCTTTAAGTACATTCCCAGCTATCATAATTCATACCAGCACCATCAAAAAGTACCAATAGTCAGTTCCGTACTTCTATGAATACAGATTCATAAACATAAAACTTGAATCATGTTCAGTGCAGGATCTAAGAAAAAAATGATAAAGAGCAGCTGAGGTAATATAAACAACAAAACAAAACAATCTAAAGCTACAAAGACAGAAATATTATCAAAACAATGATTTTTTAAATCTGTCTATTAATAATAAGCTGATGACTAATGTAGGCTGGAGGTCACACAGGTCAGTTGTTTCCCTAATTTCTTAACCTAAAGGATAGGTCCCTTTCCTGAAAGTTCTCCCTTTCTTTTAAGCCTAAGGGAAGTTCACACGCACAGGACAAGGAAGCAGACCTACTCGTTTGGGGAGAACAGAAACAAAAGTAATTAAGTCAAGCTCGCTACAAAAATAATTTCTTTTTTAAGATCGGTTAGCAAGGCATTCAGCTTATTCACTAGCGCTTTTCTCAACACACTAATCCACACTCTCCTTCACCAAACCAGCTAAATCTCGTAAATGAAATCATAGAAGTTCTGCATCTCCTTTAGGATATGTCTTGTTTGTCGCAGTGTGCTTATTTTGCTCTGTGTAAGAAAGGAGCACTAGGTCCTGAAAGACACTCAGGTGTTTCAATGGGACTTAAACACCCAAATTTCACTGTGAACACCTAAATTTCTCTGTCAACCCAGAGTTGAGCACTTACAGAGAGTCTGCTACTACATGTCTTGCATATGATACAGAAAGATATGGTTTCAGTAGAAATGGAGGTTATTCCCCACTTTATAGAGTATGTTCTGAGTAACGACTTCTGGTTAGATGAAAGTACATTGAAATCGTAATGTTGATGGGCAAGAACATCTTCTGTAGGGCAAAGAAATTCTATAACACACTTTACATGGAAGAAAAATCTCCACTGGCTTCATTCGGTATGTACATAAGCAACGTATTACTGGAGGCAAGAAGATCTTTTTCAGAATAAAGAATGATTCACAGTTCATAGGAACACAAGAGTCAGCCAATGGCTGGCATGGACTGCTTCTTCTTCTATGTGGAGGTCTGACTATAGAAAGGAAAAAAATGTAGTGGATTGAAATTTCTCATAAGTAGGGCATCTCACAAGAAAAGGCCAGCAAGACTAAGGTAAAAAGGAAGTGGAACAATGAAAGAAGACATGACAGGTAAAAATGGGTTTCTTATAATACAGTCCTAGACCTTCAAGAAATCCAGAAATGACAACTATTCCCCACCACATCTTTAAAGACTTTTTAAAAAAAAATCAGGTTTAATTTAATTTTATTATTATTATTAGGCAGATATAGTCAGCAAGATTAAAATACGTATAAAAATCATACCTTTTAAAGCTATGAAAAACTGAAGGACATTAGAAAATTCAAATAGGTTTAAATTGCAACATTAGTACCTGACCTATTCTTTTTGGTTTTGTTTTTTAATTTTATTTCAGACATTAGTAAGAATTATTTTTAAAAACTTGTGCATGAGAATGTGTTCACTGATATACCCAGTTACAACACTGAATTAAGAACAAGTTTTCCACTGTCAAGTGCTTGGGATAGTCAGTAAATATCAATAAAAACATACAATTGTAAATTAATACTGATTTTGAGTTGAGCTTTAAAACAATAAACACAGCATTTGATATGAAAGTTCAAAAAGGAAATATCATGGTTTGCAACACGAAGTAACATAAGTTCAACATGGAGTAAGCTCATTGGACCTCTGACAGCTGAGCCATGATGTGATTAAGGGGGATTCTTGTCCATTTTCATGCACAGAAATTTTCAGTAACAATCCTTTTGTGACCTCAATGCAATGCCTTTCTGGAGCTGAATGACAGACATGTTCAAACAATCCCTTCATGCAAATAATCTAGATCCCCCCCCCCTTCTCTTTGAGTCCAGCTCTGATTCAAGGCTGTACTTCAGAAAATAATACACAGGATAAAAAGAGCTATTTAAATTTATTTTGGAAAATACACTTAATCCCATAGTTCTTTTGCATTCAGAATCAATGTGGGTCTCAAAGCTCTGCAGAATATAATTTCTTGTAGTAAAATTGTGTTGATTAGTTTTGCCACTTGTGATTTACTTCATATTTTTCCTCCCATAGGTTCTAGCTGCTTATATGATATGAGTACCAATAGGAACTGCTCATTTAAAATAACCTCCCTCCTTTTTCCTTCATCTGCATAATAAATTCCTGTATATCGATATGACTTAGCTTCATCTAAAGAACTGTACCTCAGAAATGCATTCCTTCACCTATTTTTTCTCCTTTCTCATGCAAAATTCTAAAGCACAGCCAAACGCAGCTCTGTGAAGATCAGGATAAAGCAGGATAAACCTGAATCTTGTTTAACCTGATAATTCAAAATATTTCAAATACCACAGACATTCCTGAGGACTAAATGTTTTGGAGAGTAATCTGGCAGAAAAGCTCTATTTTTTTCTGTTTGTCCCTCTTCCCTCCAAGAAAACCTGGCATCTAAATCATAAAAATCAGAGCCTGCTGGCTGCCGGTCTTCTGTCTTTTTTTCTGGAGCCCTCTGTATCCCTGCTACACAGACTATACAGATAAATATATCAGATTCACTTCTAGCTTTAGGTCTTGATAATCTTCAATTCAGATCAAACTAAAATGGGAAAAAAATCAACAGAATTTGCTTGTGCTAAGCATTATTAGCAGTTCCCACAGGAAATGCTTTTGAGACAGTGCCACAGTTCAGGAGGAGACAGTTTAAATTTACTTATGGGCAAAGCAGAATTTTCTTCCAAAACCCTACAATGTTGGAGGATGTTTTGCTTTTCCACTCATAGTTCGTTTAAGAAAACAAACAACTTTTATTGCATTAAGCTTATTT